TTCTCTCCTGTATTAGTGAGTGAGTGTTAGTGTTACCATTGTGGGCTCCTTCTTGTTACGTCCAGGCCAATCACTAGACCTTCACTGTAATTGGCTTCTCTCCTGTATTAGTGAGTGTTAGTGTTACCATTGTCGGCTCCTTCTTGTTACGTCCAGGCCAATCACTAGACCTTCACTGTAATTGGCTTCTCTCCTGTATTAGTGAGTGAGTGTTAGTGTTACCATTGTGGGCTCCTTCTTGTTACGTCCAGGCCAATCACTAGACCTTCACTGTAATTGGCTTCTCTCCTGTATTAGTGAGTGAGTGTTAGTGTTACCATTGTCGGCTCCTTCTTGTTACGTCCAGGTCAATCACTAGACCTTCACTGTAATTGGCTTCTCTCCTGTAAACATCATTGGCGTCGTCATTATATTGTTATTTTTGTACATTTATTCCACCTTGTGTAAAAGTATTGTCATACATATGTATATTAACTCCATGTAGTTACTCAGCATTCACCTGATGAAGGGACAAGAAGTAGCTCTGAAACGTCGTCACAAAGAATAATTTTATCCATAAAAAGTCCCCTGTGTTCGTATTCTTTCAACTTCAAACAACTTCAAAACTTCCCCGATGTCCTCCACTCCTTTAGTGCTGCACTTATTGAAGTAGCCACATGGCAGATTGGATATGTACATAGGCCTCAAGTATGTAATGCCACTTTGACCAACGCCTGCACTGTTTCTTGTACAGTAAACTACGGTTATAACGGACTCAAGGGGACCACAAATTTTAGTTCGATATAACCGTAGTTCATTATTAGCATATATACAGCATATATACAGCAACTGTACGGGACCTAAAAAACAGTTCGTTATATCCGCTGGTTCGTTACAAACTTACTTTACTGTATGTAGATTTTGTACCAACTTAGACTGACAGTATCATGGTTCAACTGATCGTCTGTACCAAGTTAAGAAATGCAAAATGTCTAACCAAAGTTAGATTTAAACACCAGCCCACACATGGCTAATACATGTGAATATCTAACCAATGACCAGAAAGCTGTTTCCCTTTGGTTTCAACTAATTCCCTATGTATATATTTCTGTATACGACCCCCAGTGTATTATTCAAGTCTCAATGTACCATGTGACCGGGTGTGGACAGAGTGACTCGTGCAACATACATCTGTCATTCACAGACAAACATTCTGTACATCATTGTTTACACCCAAGGAAACTCTCGTCAAGTCACTTGTAAAACATTGCTTCAGAAACACTGAATTATCCTAGCTGGTTTGAAGAACATAGCAGTGTAATATCTTCAGTTCCTGAATCCTGCATTGTCTCTACACACCTACCTCAGCACTAAGAGGCTACGTACACGTGACATCACAGACATGTAAAAACATTTCAGGAGAAAATGTATACCCGTGTATCGTACTTGGTCCGAATTATTAACAGTTATAGTTTCACTCTGTGAACTAAGTGGGGTACATGGAATGTTTTAGTCTGACTTGGGTGTTGGTATATTGTGACACAAATAGGGTGTTGCCCTTTCTTTAGCTGTAATACGGAAAACACAACACGGACTTGCTCATATGCAAAATGACTTGATGGCATTATCAATTGTACAACTACAAATTTCTTTGAGTGCCATTTAGAAGTTAGTGTGATGAAGAAAGACAAGTTCTATGGATGAACAACTTCTTTATTACAATTAGTGCGACGTTTCGGTGTAGATCCTAACACCTTTATCAAGCAAGTGATAGATAGGGCTTACTTACTTACTTACTTTGGAGATTTAACGTGCGCTTTCCGACTGATGCGTATTTCGCACACGGGCCCGGCCAGGCCATTTTATGTGTTTCCAAAAGGTGCGAAGGTGGTCTGTGCAACCCTAAGAGGGGGCTTTAGGGGTTGCTTAAATATAATTTGGGAATTTTGAGATTTGAAATAGATGCCAATGGGGTTGGGGAGGAGAACTAAGGGAGCTGGGTATGGTGGATGTTTGTTTGTTTATGTGATTTTGATTTGGTAGGTTATTATGTTTTTAGATGCGTTTTATTAGTTCCGTTTTGATTAAGAATACGCCTAAGGCCGATAGATAGGGCTGAACAACATAGGTATATATACACTTATTGACATCTAAGTTTATACAGTGACTAGTTGATGGACACAGAGAGGTGATTAAGATAATTATAAGCCAGTGGATGACCCAATGAACACAGAGTAAACAAGCAGAGTAAACAAGCAGACTGATGGAGATGATGGAAGCCACTGGATTAATTGGATGGACAAAGGGATTTAGCAATTAGGTGATGGTAAGCAGGCGGGATGTAATAGCCTTGGTCTCTGTGCATTGCTGGTTGGATCCTTTTGATGTAGATGGCTTCTAGGAATTTCCTGATTTTGTAGTCTGATTGGTTGTTGGCCAGGATCTTGATGTTGTTCCACTGGATGTTGTGATCGGGGTGGGTTTGGGTGTGGTCGGAGATGGCTGAGATGTCTTGTGTTCTTTTATTCTAATGGGTAGGGGCCTGGATGTTACAATTTTGCCGAGGATGAAGATTTGATGATAAAACATCCAACAAATAAAGTGTGTTTTGAGTTTTCTGTTTAACGCTGACCTAGAATATTCCAGCTATATGAGGGTGGTTGTAAATAATCGAATCTGGACCAGACAGTCCAGTGACTGACAGCATGAACAACTGTCTACTCAACTGAGATAATGTGTCATGCGGACCTTGTTACTGTGACATAAACACGTGCACCTAATAATACAACTAGTGTGTGATAAGCAACATAATGCCTTGTCTTATGACATTTTTATTGGAGTTATAAATCATATTTTACAGGAAAGGGGCGTGAGTGACGTATTGACAGGCCATACTTTCAGAAAGGGGGGAGCTAGTTGGGTGTTTGAAATAGGGTTTACCGGGCGGCAGATCCAAGATGTTAGATTCAGGAGGAGTAATGTATATCGTCGTTATATTCAAATGGGTAGCAAACGCAAGCTATTGGCAATGGAAGCAATTGGAGCTTCTCTACCGAAGGATTAGATTCCTGTTAATATTCGGTGTATGGTACCTTTTATAGATGGGCTTCTTTCCTATGGTATGTTATCATATTACTATGGGTGTGTAATCATATTCAAATGGGTATGAAAGAGGCGACTAATGGGATCGGGTGGTCAGGCTCGCTGACTTGGTTCGTTGTCGTTGAATAAGCCCTGGGATGTTCAGAGATTTCAATATTTGTTCGCGAATCTTGTTCCTGCAGTACATTAACACGGGCTTTGGTCTTACACAATGTGTGATACAGCTGTATGTTTATTAAACCGATGATCTCTTCAACGGGTGATCTGGCAAGTAATAAAGATCAGTACGCACTCATGAGGTCAACCTTTGCGAGGAAACTGCCTGGGGTGATCAACTTTTAGTGTCCCTCAAGTCGGCAAGACATCATCTGCAACACAGAAATCAACTTAGCCAGAGCTCCTGCACATTCTTCCACTGAACTGTACACAATCAGTCTCTATGTGGGCTATAAACCCTCACTTTATACCGCACTTTCGTTAGGCAACACGCTGCCGAACTGAAGGTTTGAAATATCTCAGGGCTCTTTGCTGCAGCAAAAGGTAGCTTTTTATGCTACAAGTATAGGTAGTACAGCACAACACTGATCATGGTTACTTGGGTGCAGTCGTATTGATCTGAACCACCCTAGAAATCAACCTTTGCGAGGAAACTACCTGGGTGATCCACTTTTTACCGTCCTTTAAGTCCAAGTATGAGCACTGACTCTTTATCATGTAATGATTCATATCTTTTCCCATATCTCCCCATACGTATTTCTATGCAAGGTGACTGACATCTAGCATGTATTTCAGACAGTCAAGTATCCCAGATATATCCCCTCCTTTGTCAGTAATCATCTTTCAAGACGCCTACACTGGCGTAGGTCCACATCTCTGACGTGAAGTTATCACCGCCCCCTTTTGAACTACAAAGGTCAAGTTTATACCATCCCCGGAATCGAGAAACTTCGCCTCCAGGTCTTGTGCTAACGATTCTATCCACTCATAATTTTCAGCTTTCTAACGTTTGCCTTACCTTGGATAGCACAAATCTTTTCTTGGTAAGGCAATTTGGACAGCGATTTTCCCGGGAGGCTACTGGCTACTAATCATCATCAATCGCAGTCTTCCTCAACGCATCCATGACATCTTAGAGTCCTTTTCATATTTCGCGGCCACATTGTTTGTTTGTTGTTTAACACCGAACTCAGCATTATTCCAGCTATTTGACGGCGGTCTAGAAATAATCGAGTCTGGATCAGACAATCCAGTGATTGACATCATGAGCATCGATCCAATTGAGATACGATGACATGCATCAACCAAGTCACCGAGCCTGACCACCCGATCCCGTTAGTCGCCTCTTACGACTAGCATAGTTGTCTTTGACGGCAAGCATGGGTTCCTGAAGACCTATTCCAAAAAAAACGGATATTGAGTGAGTGAGTATGGTTTTGCACTGCTTTTTGTAATATTCCATCAATATCACGGCGGGGGACACCAGAAATGATTTTTGTTCATTTGTTGTTTAACGCCGCACTCAGCAATATTCCAGCTATACGACGGCTGTCTGTAAATAAGCGTCACACGTGACGAGCGAACGCTTTTACCACTAGACTACCCCACCGCCCTTAAACAGAAAAAAACCTAAGGGTCATGAGCAGCAACCAAGCTCAATATGCAATATTATGGTCTAAGGGGGACAACTCCTCCCTGTGTTACAATACATTCTCTCGAAAAATACACCTTGTATCAGTTCACGTTTGATTGAAATAACAAAAGAAATTGCACAGATTATTTTAAATAAATGCCTAATGGTCAAACTGTCAAACTCTTGCATACTGGAGTGGTGGCTTGATTGTACAGATCTGAAGAGAGTCGTACAAAGCTGCTTCTAATGAGATACAAGTACATACCTGCACATACCAGATCACGTGATCTACCTCACGTGATCTACCTCACATGACAAGAGGTGGGCGGTTGCAGTTATTTCAGGAACCAGAAAGAGAGGCGACTTCAGGGAAGAGAGCTCCACGTTGTAACAGCGGTATGTCACATGTTTAGACGCCATTGCACATACACATATAAATTTTACATTATGTGACAGTACGTTGTGTTACCTATGTTTTAATCTGTACACGTCAGGGCAGAGGTTAGACTTTAACACAGAAAGTAGACTTGACATTGACATATCCAGCAGGAGGCAACCATGATTACATCCATATAGTTTTGTAGGATGTCAGTCAGCAGCTGAATCGTCATCGCTGGTGAAAGACAGTCAAGAGTATTACAATTATAAAAATCAATTAACATGGAGCTAGGCAGACAGATTATCGTCTGCCTTTAAACACAAGCAGTTACAAGTTATAACGAAAGTGGAAATGAGCTTAAACGTCAATCCATTTAGTTCTGTAGGATGTCAGTCAGCAGCTGCATCGTCATCGCTGGTGACAGGCTACACACTCAAGAATACTGTTATCAAAATCAATTAACACAGAGCTGGGCAGACAGATTTTGAACTGCACTTATCTGAGGTCATAGTACATAGAGGCTATCACACGAGTGTGTTTGTGGATGGTAAATATAATGCATTAGGAAATAAACATTGTATTTAGCTAGCCTTGGCGAGCTAAATGCTTAGTGTTTATTCCTAATACAGGATATTTACCATCCCCAAGCACAGAAGCGTGATAACCTCTTTATCATATAATGTCATTCTTTAATTCTGTGCTTTAAAATCGCTTTCCCTCTCTCACAAACATTCCCGAAACATTACGAGTATTCCTGGAATGCACGCATTAATATTTATTACGTCACAGGGTAAGTGATGTGTCAGTCGGACAGTGACAGTAGCCAATATAGTTCCAACTGAAATCTGTTTCTTATACAGTGGCGAAGCAACATATACGCAAAACAACAGTTGTTTTTTAATGCCTTTCGCGGCAATCCATCGGTCTGTCCGCTAGAGTAACTGCCCTTTGTCAAAGGGAAGCTACTCTAACCCTAGCCTATGAGACGTCACGTCCACGTTCAGACGTTGTTGACAGTCGGTCTGTCCTGTTATAACGTTAAGAAGTGTAGTCAGATGTACACACAGCGACAAAACGAAACAAGGTAACAATTCAAACATATTTCGGCAAAATCCAACTACTTTAATTTGTGGAGAAGGTTTCAAGCCGCAGAGGTCTACAAGCACAGATATGGCTACTGATCCCGCTTGGCTAGGCCTCGTGCCCTCGTAAAATTAATTCGAATATTTTCTGTATATTAAACTGGTTTTTTTATAATGATAGCAATTATCCCTGTAGTTTATCCAGATTCCCATTGGTTAATTCTGACTCGATCGAAGAATGACGAGGGCGACGCCATGTTTGTTTATAAACAGCGAAAGTAGTCCTACTTGACCTTTGATATTTGCATATCTATCCGCATATGACCCCAACGGATATCGTTTTTATCCTTTGGCTTTATCATGCCGAGAAACCTACCCATTATATGATAAAAGTAGTTACCGGTTATAACAAAAGTAGAAATTAGCCGAAACGTCTGCTGGTGTCCACCCATCTACCCCGCACATTAGCATACTCGGGTCATTTGATTTGCTGACTAAGTGAAGATTGCGTTTTATGTACATTAACAAGCGTGCTGGAAACACCACATGAACGATAGGTAAGTTCTTCGGGTCGGGGGAGGTGTTGTGGCGATAACAAGATTGGATCAGAGTTATGTCCCTTTAAGCATCATCGGCTTGCATGTATGTTTAATATCAGTCATATGACAGTATATGCCTGTATGATTTTGTCTGTTGTGTGTGTGTGATGTGTGTGTATTTGAGTCTGCGGGCGTGCATGTGCGTGTGAGTGGACAATCCGTATCCGGTAATGAAGACTTGAAGGTTTTACTCATCCATGAAGTAAATGTTTGTTGCCTGACGATGCACAGCAGAAGCGAACACCTGGTGTCGACACTGATTTCAAAATATCTATTCACATAATTTTCACCATTGTTTTGCCTTAGATGACGCCCAATGGAATGCGTTTCGGCAGATACTGGTTATTCTTTGGCGTTGTCGATTTTTATTAAATCTTAACGTAGTAGTTCACAGAGGAGAGTGGGTATCCCCAAACAAGCCAATATTTGACGATGGCGAAAACTGGTTTTGAATGATTTTTCTCAAACTGTTTGTTGCAATCGCGATTATCAAAAGAGAAAAGCGTTTCAAAATATTTTTATCTTCATTTTATATGAATGCGTGAGAATTCCCTCAACATTGCGTCTACGCGTGACACAGGTGATAAATGAGTGAGACTCACGCGAGATGCTTGAGAGTTGACAGGTATGTGTTTGAAAAACATGGCATACATTCCACACAGTCTCTCCACTTCATGGAATGTACATATTCATTACTTAGGGGAGAACGTGAAATGGTATCATGATACTGTGTGGTATTTGAGGTTTAGTGCGACTTACGTAAAACATAATTAACAAGAGTCGTGATGTTCCACAGATATACATGCAATGGGCGCCGTATTGTCATGTAAACTCCTGTCTCACTGTCTTGTAATGATGTCACGTCTTGGGACGTTGGGGATGATGCATTCATGTACATGTTGTATGATTCTGTCTATAACATGTGCATATATACTTCACTAAACTATCAGTTTGGCTTCAGATGGCGACCGCTAAGAAGCTCACAGAGTACCACCTCACCTGCGTCATCTGTACAGAGGTGTTCACAAACCCTGCCACACTTCAGTGTCATCATACATTCTGCAAGTCCTGTCTGCTGAAATACACCAAGACACAGCCGGAAGCAGTACAAGCCAGGTCCATCCCATGTCCCTCCTGTAGACAACAGACGAATGTGACCAACCCTGACAGTCCAGTGGAGGAGTGGGTCAGTCAGCTGAAACCAAGCCACGTCATACAGGGGCTGATGGACGACTTTGGACCCAGCACAAAGGGTAATCAGCTTATAATACTACTGCCTGACTAATATACCTTTTTCAAAGGTTTTTAAACGACAACACATCTGTGCATTGACGAGCATTCACTCACAGAAGTGCTTATTTTTACTTCATGTTAATTTGTGTCTGCTTATCCTGATTGAGGGCTGCAATATATGTCACAGCTAGGACGGGATGTGTTGACAGAACTGTGGGGTTGATCTTAGTCGCCCTCCACTGTGACAGGCCACAGCTAGGACGGGTTGTGTTGACAGAATTGTGGGGTTGATCTTAGTCGCCCTCCACTGTGACATGCCACAGCTAGCACAGGGACGTGTTGACAGAACTGTGGGGTTGATCTTAGTCGCCCTCCACTGTGACATCCCATAGCTAGCACAGGGATGTGCTGACAGAACTGTGGGGTTGATCTTTAGTTGCAGGTACATCTGACTGGCTGTGTCATGGCCCTACATTGTAATGAAGCATGCTAATGGAAAACGTGCATGTTATGTTCTCTGTCAGTTAAGGCTCCCATATATAAAGCCGCTACAACGCCGCAGTTTCCGTTATGCATCTGTTATTGTATATCTAGCCAGCAAATATAATCTTGTGATTATGATTACCTGTAGGTCATGATTGACAGGGGAGTGCTACATTGTGACACAGCATCATTGTTTCATTACAACCCGTGCCATATGATATGTTTATCTTCAGAAAGGGCGTGGCCGTTTGTTACAAAATTAATGTGTTACCTGTTATTATTTCTTGTTTCTGACAAATGAAATAAAACACACTTGTTTGTTTTAGCTGTGGAGGAAAACTTGTGCGGTGTTTGTACAAAACAAGGAAAGACAACTCCCGCCACTTCTTGGTGCTCTGTCTGCGATGTTGTGTACTGTGAAGGATGTCTCCAGTTGCACAACATGATGCCAGGGTTGTGTGACCATGAAGTCGCTCACTTGTCTGATCACACCAAGACAAAGGTCAAGCGTCGCTTCACGTGTCAAGTCCACAGAGACAAACGGATAGAGTTGTTCTGTAAAGATTGCAAGCGGGCAATATGCACGAAATGCTGCAGTATAAGACACAGGACATGTAAGGATGTTGATACAATTGAGAGTATGACCCCTCTTGTGAAGGAACAACTGACAAACAAAATAGAGCAACTCGGAATCAACATTGCAGCTGCGAATAATATCCTAACCCGGAGAAAATCTAAAATTCAAGATGTGAAGAGTAATTCACAAACCCTTAAAGATCAAGTCATGAAGACACGGGAAACAGTGATGTGTGCTATTTTAAGAAAAGAGAAGCAACTCCTTGGTGACATCGACAAATCTACTGATGAACAATTACATGAGTTACAAGCAGATATAAAATCCCAGGAGATCGAGCTACAGATGTACCAGCAGCAGTATAAGTTCACAGCCAATGCTGTGACGTCCAACTGTGAGATGGACATGTATGCCGTCTATGAGTCGATGGGTGAGACGTCTACCGACAACAGAGACACGAACAACAGGCCAGCAGCAGGATTGGTTGTATTCACACACGACCTGGACAAGCTGAGTAAAGCAGTTGTTGAGCTACAGCTGGGGGAGGTTCAAGTCGTCCATGATGTGAGTGACCCAAGGTCTTCCCCTGTTCTACATCACACCATTGACTGCGAGGAAGATGGGGACGGGAAGGATCCTTGGTTGTGGGACGTCACAGTGTTGACTGTTGATGACATCAAAGTGGTGGTAGTTGCAGATTATAATAACAAGAGACTAAAAACATATTACAAATCAAACTTCAAATCCTTTCATAATGAGCTCTTGCTTTCTAATTATCCTTGGCAAATAGCCAAGTTATGTGAGATTCAGATAGCTGTCAGTGTTCCAAGCAGAATGGAAATAGTTACAGTGAATGTTACCCCAGATCCTGTATTACTGTCAACTATCAAAACCAGCAAGCAGTACTACGCTCTCGCTGCTCTGAGTCCTTCACAGCTGGCGGCAGGTGGATATGAACAGTCTCACTGTGTGGACATACTGGACATGGCAGGGAGGATACTGAGGTCTATCAACACGGGGGTGATAGGGAATCCAGACCACATCCACGTCACCAGGAACAACAACTTGATAGTCAGTGAAAGAGGAGTAAAATCCCTTGTATCTGTGACCAGTGAAGGAGCCGCTGTTTTCACCTACACTCCCACAGGAGACAGAGCTCTGACATATCCTTGGGGTATCACAACAACCAGCACAGGAGATATCCTGCTTGTAGACTATGACTCCCACAAGGTGATTCAGCTGACACAATCGGGGCAGTTTGTCAAAGATGTCCTCACACGCCAGGATGGTCTGGAACATCCTGTTGGTGTCTGTCTTGATGGTGACGGTCTGCTGTGTGTTACGTCTGCAAGATATGTAAATGTATTTAAATTCTGCGCCGCTGAATTTTAAAATAGAGATAATTTTTATCTCCATGCACAGTTGAAGATATACAAAATTGACAACCGACAATGTCCAGATCGGCTCTTGTAAACGTATTTCACCATGGCAGTGATTAAACAGAGGACGATCTTTCACGTGTAGAAATCTGACCTGATTTGTAAAGGACATTTGTTAAAGGAACGCATAGTGACAGGGTTCGTTCCGATTATGTTTCTAGGTTTGTCAGCACCATACCCTTGCTCCTTGGCTTCATCAATAAGGGGATACCGTCTGAGACCTGCATCACTTCGGCTTTCCTTCCACATTAAGCTGACACGCCGTGATATAACTGGAATACTGTTCAAAGCAGCGTAAAACCCAACTCACTCACTCACAGTGACAGAACTAAATGAGAAATCTGCTCACGTAGTTAGGTATGGTGCAAGCCTTTAGATTATCAGTTAAACAACCGAGCTCGTCAAGGCTTCTACGTGTGCTGAACAAATATATAACACAACGAGCGTTCAGCTATTTGTGGAGGCTATAACAGTGAATGGATGCTTTGAGAATTGGTTAACTTGTGTCCTCATTGGTATCAGTTATTTGTACTGATGTATAGTATTTCTGATTGATTGAAGTAACAGTAAATATCCCTATAACATTAAACAACTCTATCTGGATACAAAAAAGGATATAATAAATGTTTTGACGTTTGAATAGTTTAAATGAGGAAGATGTCTTTTTGTGATCTTGTCCGCTTCCAGAAACACCAGACGGAGATTTGAACTCTGACAACAAGTCTAACACACGTCCTTGTGTTGCATTTCAAACTTTCACTAGTTCATTAATACGAGGGCTGACTGTAAAGTTCAAAGCCTAAGTGGGATATCTCAATCGGATTGAAACAAACTTTTGCCACCAACAAGTACAATCATGTAATGAATCATAGACGTAAGATCTGCAACTGTAGTGTTATTATTGTCTTTGTACCAGACCATCTTGTGAACCTACACATTGAAATCACCAGCAATGGACAAAACTGGCTATATGGCAGTCATCGAGTACCTGCAACTGAAAGGGCTAAATCCAACACAGATACATGCTGACATGGTCTCCACTTTAGGGGATGATGCCCCTCCTTTTTCCACTGTAAAGAAGTGGGCTGCAGAATTCAAACGTGGCAGAGAGAACCTTGACGATGACCCGCGTCCAGGAAGGCCTTCAACAGCAACCATTCCAGAAAACATTACCCAGGTACATCACATTGTGATGGCTGATCGACGATTGACCACTCGACATATTGCCAGTGTTGTGGGCATCTCTCATGAGAGGGTTGAGCACATTATCACCAACGAGTTGGGAATGACAAAAGTTTCTGCAAGATGGGTGCCAAACCTCTTGACAGCGGATCAGACACGTGTCAGATTGCTGACGTCCCGTGACAATTTATGCCGTTTTGAAGCAGATCCCGATGATTTTTTGGTCCGATTTGTAACCATGGATGAGACCTGGATTCATCATTTTCAACCAGAAACCAAAATTCAGTCTAAATAATGGAAGCATCCGGAATCACCAGCCCCCCAAAAAAGCCAAGTCTGTTCCTTCCGTTGGCTTCAGTCTCTTTGGGATTCCAGGAGTATTCTGCTGATTCTTCTTGAAAAAGGCCAGCCTATCAATGGAAGTGTTATGCTGTTCTATGGAGACAGTTGCGTGAAGCTATCAAAGCCAAGCGACGGGAAATGCTCACTAAAGGAGTCCTGTTCCACCAAGACAATGCTCCTGTTCACAAATCGGTATATAAGCGTGTCAGATTGCTGACGTCCCGTGACAATTTATGCCGTTTTGAAGCAGAATCCGATGAGTTTTTGGTCCGATTTGTAACCATGGATGAGACCTGGATTCATCATTTTCAACCAGAAACCAAAATTCAGTCTAAACAATGGAAGCATCCGGAATCACCAGCCCCCCAAAAAGCCAAGTCGGTTCCTTCCGCTGGCTTCAGTCTCTTTGGGATTCGAGGGGTATTCTGCTGATTCTTCTTGAAAAAGGCCAGACTATCAATGGAAGTGTTATGCTGTTCTATGGAGACAGTTGCGTGAAGCTATCAAAGCCAAGCGACGGGAAATGCTCACTAAAGGAGTCCTGTTCCACCAAGACAATGCTCCTGTTCACAAATCGGTATATCAGCGATTCATGATTGTGGTTTCCAACCCATTGACCATCCACCTTATTCACCCGATTTGGCCCCGTCGGACTTCCACCTGTTTCCCAAGATGAAAAAGGAACTAGCCGGTCGCCATTTCCCCAGTAATGATGACGTCATTTCTGCTGAGAATGACTTGTTCAGGGTGGCTGAAGAAAATTTCTTCTTGACCGGCATCCAGGCCTTGCAGCATCGCTGGCATAAGTGTGTAAACCTTGAAGGGGACTATGTGGAGAAATAAATGAAAACCATCGACTTGGTACGGGTCTTTCACAGTTAGGCTTAGAACTTTTCAGCCAGCCCTCGTATATGTTACATGTCCTTTAAAAACCTCTATGCGTTATCACTGTGTGTAATTTCTGGAGCATCATTCATAACCTTTTCAATATCCAATTTAAACTTTGTATACACGTCAGACAAGGGTGGAACAGGTGGTGTTTGCTTTACAGGAATTGGTAAACAAGTTATATGAACATATGTACATATGAGAGTAGGGTTATTTTTTCAGCTGTTCACAATGGTTCACATCTGAAACATGGCAAAAAAATCAAGACAAGTTCTGAACCTTGCTTATTTATGATATTTTTATTTCTTATAATTTTCGATTCCAAGGCAAAAAATTTGACTCCGTTCAGATGTAGTTTTAACGCATAACTCAAAAACGATTCAATATTTTCATGAAGCGTTGCTTGTACATGAGGCAACTGCTGGAATGGCGCCTTTTGTTATTCAGGAAACTACAGAGTGGTGTTGTGTATATAGGAAACTACAGAGTGGTGTTGTGTATATAGGAAACTACAGAGTGGTGTTGTGCACACATAAAATTATTAATGACATTTTGTATATGCGTGAAACGATATTGTGACATTTTGTATATACGTGAAACTATATAGTGACATTTTGTATATACGTGAAACTATATAGTGACATTTTGTATATACGTGAAACTATATAGTGACATTTTGTATATACGTGAAACTACATATGGCCTTTGTGTATACCTGAAGCTACATATGCCTTTTATCTATACACGAAGCCATAGTGTCCTTTAGGGAGTGAAATTTTACTCATTCACTTCACCTTTACTTCCCACTGACTTAAACGGTCCCTTATTACAGCTTAGTCCAAAATGAAGGCACTGATTCGGTTTGTCACTGCGTTCCAATCATTTATCATCATCATAATTACACTGATACCAGGGTGCGGCTGGATTTGGATGATCAGCTTCACTGCTTTCTTGGGTTTTTTATATTTATTTAATTAATATATTCCAATATTTTGTCTATGATTAGTGAAAAATTAAAATGGAGATGTTTTTTACATATATTACTCATATAACAAACTTCAAAACCTACACATACCTGAACTATCTCTGTCTCTGACACACGGGACATGCCACGCCTTCTGCTACTGCCTGGTGTCAGTTGTGAAGAATAAATAGCTTATTAAAGTTTAATTCCATGTTGTTGTTTTTATCGATGAAACTGAGAACACGTGTTTGAGACCAAGATTTAAGCGTTGTTTTTTTCTGCAAATACTTTATCACAACAGGTTTGGCCATTGTCTCAAAGGTCACAAAGCCCTATATATTTCCCAGCAAAACAATCTGCTCAAATGACTAAAAGTTTTGCAGATATACCCCTCTGACATCATGTTATATCCACAACAAAATATTTCACTATAACCCATGTTCTTCTAAGTGTGGTAAGGGTGCACGGGTGGCCCAGTCGACTGAGGCGCCGCGATTCGCTGTGCAGAGTTACGTCCCTTGGGCACGCCAGAACCATATAATTTGGGGTTTGAATCCCGGTTCGACCCGATTATGTTTCTAGGTTTGTCAGCACCATACCCGTGCTCGTGGGTTTCACCGAAGTGGTAAACGTCTTAGACCTGCATCACTTTCGGGCTTTAAGTTTTTAAAGCTTTCACATATAGAAGAGGGCACAATACAATGACGATGCAAATGACGATAAACCTGAATTTTATAAGCTTTTTTTTTTAAAAATGGCCGAATTTGTCAATAGTTCAACGGTAATTTGGAATAAAGTGTTCAACCCAAATAGAGATCTTGAAAACTACAAACATGTAAATAATCCAAAAGCAAGAAAAGTATTAATGGATAAAATTTAAGAACTAGATCTTCTGGATGTTTGGAGACAACTAAATAAAGATGCGAAAAATGTACGTGGTGGAAAAAAATCCCCGCCAACAAGCAAGGTTAGACTTCTTCATAACCTCACAAGATTTATTAGATATGACAATAGATTCATCAATTTTGCCAGAATACAAATCGGATCACTCCGTTATTTCCCTTACTCTAACAAATGCTGGAAATAAAGATAGGGTAAAGGATATTGGAAATTTAATACCTCTCTTTTATATCAAAAACATTATATTGATATTGTCAAAAATACAATTGCAGAGACTAAAAATGAATACAAAGAAAAATCTTCTATTAATGATAACATTGTTGATGACGAAGATTTGAAATTATCAATAAACGATTCTCTCTTCCAAGAAACATTGTTTATGAAAATTAGAGGAAAATCTATCTCTGTCTCTTGATGAACCCTTACACAAAAAAGAAATAGAAGAAGTAGTCCATAAAATGAAAAGAAATAAATCCACAAGGGGTTCTCAGTTGAATTTTGAATTTTTTTCTCGACAGATATCTGTTTGAGTTTATAGATTTATAAAGGATACCTTTGAGAATAATCGACTGACACTAACTATGAAAAGGGGTGTTATAACTACCATACCTAACCCCAATAAAGACAGAAGAATACTATAAAAAAGAGACCCATTACTCTATTAAATACTTTGTACAAAATCCTAAGTTGCTGCATAGCAAATTGTATTTGAAGATCATTGCCAACACTAATACATGAAAATCAAACAGCTTTTATATCAGGGCGATGTATAAGCGAAAATATTAGGCTCCTATCAGACTAAATGATAATGAATACAAAATTAATCAATATGCTGATGATACAGACTTATTTTTAGATGGATCTGAACAAAGTTTATGTATTGCGCTTAATATACTTGATACATTATAAAATTTCTGGTCCAAAGATCAATATTAACAAAACGAAGGTCCTATGGTAAGGTTCTATGTCAGGCAGTAGTATTAAATATTGTCCACACAAAAAGTTAGATTGGCACAATGGTAATTTTGATGTACTAGATATGACCCTAAATATTGAATTAAATGACATTTGGGTAATTAATACCCGTAAGAGACTAGAAAATATAAAACGATTATTAGCAAACTGGAGAAGAAAATGAACAACCTTCAAACGAACCACCTACCTTCAGCCAGTTATGTGGTCTAATGGCTAGAGTGTCTGACAACTGATCAAGAGGTTGTTGGCCTGATTCCCGTCATCCATAATGAACACGTTTCATTTCTTGTCTTTGGTTTTAGGACATTGAAAGTTTGAAACACTAAGTCCAAACTACAAACTTCTCTACTTATCAGATCGTACCCGGAAAAAGTAAAACCTCATAAGATGAGGTCTTACTAAACAAAAGTACAACCTCCTTAGAGGTTATGGCGAAAAGACACGTCACATTCAAAACAATGGCCAATTTCCGTAAAATATCCGTTTGTAACTCCGCATCTCTTTTGTTTTCAATAATAAAAACTTTACAAACATAAATGTCCCATCTCCCTCTTCTCCTTGGGCAACGATGTGCACGGGGAACATTAAATTAATAGTTTTGTGTGCAGCCCATTGTAATTTGTGTCTTTGGTGAGGAGATGTAATATTTGATTGCATTAAGTCGGGTGAGTTTGTGTTCCAGCCATATGACGGCGGCCCGAAATAATCGAGTCTGGACCAGACAATCATTAGCATCGATCCACGCAATTTTCGATAATTGGGATACGATGACATGCATCTACATTGTCAGCGAGCCTGACCACCCGATGCAGCTAGTCGCCTCTTACGACAAGCATAGTCACAAGCATGAGTTAGTGAAGACCTATTCTACGCCGGATCTTCTCGGGTAATGTCTAAATGAACTTGTAGTAAGCGTGCTGCCCGCCGTCGATCCTCCGTCAGTTCTATAACTGTCAAATTCTTCTAACGGGCAGAAGGAAATGAACTTCAGAAATCTGCCCCGACCTCCCTTACGTAACTTAATCTCAAACATTACAGTTAATATTTTGGTACGATTAGATGGAGATTTGTTCATTCCAGTCAAATTTAAAATGCATTTATCTCTTTATAAACTGATAAAAACCATAGTACATGTGTTAAATGAGAGTGAATTTGATTTAGCGGCTCTTCGAAAACGGGTACTGCGCTGACAAAACAAGGAACATAATCAGGGCGAACCGGGATTCGAAACCTCGATCATTTCCTGTTACGCCTAAGGGACGCAACTCTGCTCCTGTCGATACGGATTGTACCACAATAGATTGTATTCGATGTGATACAAATATGATATATTGACATGTGTAACAGTTGTGCTTTTCATATGATGTTGGGGGGCGGTCGGGTAGCCTAGCGGTAGCTCGTCACGCCGAGGACCCCAGGCTCGATTCCTGACATGGGTACAATGTGTGAAGCCCATTTCTGGTGTCCGCCGCCGTAATATTGCTGGAATATTGCTAAAAGCGGCGTAAAACCATACTCACTCACTCAAATATGTTCTGGTTCATT